CCCTTTTTTTTTTTTTTTTGGAAGAGTGCGCGCTAATGAATGTGTTTGTCTAGGATCGAGGAAACCACCCCCCGCAAGCGCATCGAACTGTCCGTCACTCTCCCCTCCTCCGCCGAGGGCTACTCGTCCACCCTGCCTCTGTTTTCTCAGTTCCTGCGCTTCACTGACCGTCTCGTCGGTGCCGCTCACTTCCGCCCTGAGGTAACCCGCAAGATCCGGAACGCTCGCGAGGAGGAAATCAAGAAGCTGCGTCGTGCCGACGAGGACGAGAAGGCTGAGGAGCGCCGACTGGCAGCCGAGAAGGTCAAGAAGGAGGATCGTGAGCGTCTCCTCCGTGGTCTGTCTGCTGATGAGCAGAAGAAGTACCTGGAGCGTGAGCAGCAGAAGGAGCATCGTCGTATGATGAAGAAGAGTACGCGCCGCGCATGAGCGTGTTCTCTTAAGCTATGGTGGGGAAGGCGGGAAAAGTACATCGCTGCTTTCGCTGCTGCTGTTCCGTTGCATAACTTCATGTACAATGTATTCGTAATTTCTTTTGGGGTCAGAATGGCTGGCTAGCTGGTTGGTTGGAGGATACCTAGGAGTCGATACTGATCTTATCGATCTATTAATGTATCTTGATAGTATGATGACTGATGTCTTGACAGAGGGTTCCATATCTTTCAGGCCCATAATTGGATAGCTATATTCAGAAGACCCATTCACCCACTATAGCTCCGAAGGGCTCAATTGACTACCTCGTGCCGAGGTAATCTCAACCTACGACACCAGTACCTAGTCTATATATTAGAGCAACAACACCAGAAAGACCGCAATAAAATCTACATGATATAAACCTCCACACCGTCAAGCACCAGCAACCAAAAAGCTCATCAAGCTTCCCGCCGTCAACCCACCAACGAGCATCAATGCCATGAACCCACCCGCGGGTTCACGTTCCTCAGGAGACACCCATTGACCGGCGCCCATCATGCAATTGCTGCCCAGATAACCATTGCTGATGCCAAAGAGTAACTGCACAACAAACAGGTAAAAGAAGTCGCTTTCCACGACAGCACCCCGTCCACGGATATTACAGAGCAGATAGAGAGGGATGAATCCTGCTCGCGCAATGGAGAAGAGGAACAGCGCCAAGGGGCGATGTACCAATGAGAGACGGGGGACCAGGACGAGCATACGTCCGAGGAGGTCACCTGCATTCCAGAAGAAGAACGCCAGGGGGACGAAAACGGCCTGGTCGAAGAGTCGAGATCGGTTGGGGGTTGGAGCGTGGACGGATTCGATCTCCGCTGTGAAGACGGGGAAGGTCATGGTGATGGTGAAGCAGAGGAAGATAGCTGTGGCCATGAAGCGGAGCTTCTTGAAGAGGGTCCAGAGGCTGACGGTCTTGCTGGGGTCATTTTCGGAGACGCCTGAGTCGCTGTGGTCATCTGTTGCGTCGGAGAGGGTGGTGGCTGAGCGGCGCTTTACGAGAGATAGGAAGGCGAGGAGAGCGAATGATGACACGGCTGTAGCTGTGATGAAGTAGGCGAATGCTGATTTGGAGAATTCTGGCGGCGCGGCCTGGCCTTCTTTCTTACTGGGGACGGAGATCACGGAGAGGATCTGGACGATGCAGGGCAATACTCCCGCTACGCCTTGACCGCCCATGATGGCCTGGGTGTATTCCTCTCGTCCGAAACCGGAGACGTAGGCGTATACGCCATTTTGGTTGATTCCTGTGGCGAGACTGGCTCCGAAGACCATGAACATCAGGAAGGCGAAGTATGTGCCCACTGCGACATCTTTCATGAGGATGGTGGAGAAGGCCAGAAGTGTGAACACTACTATGTTGATAAGCAGAGAGATAGTGACCCGCTTAGGATACGATGCTCCCTTCTGTAGCTTGGCGAGGATGAACGATGAGCCTAGGTTAGTGACGGTGGATACGCTCAATATAGAGGGTTGGTAATGAGTCGCTGCCCAGTCGTCTGAGTGGAAACGGTGGTAGAAGTACGGGGCAGCAGCGAGGAACATGTTCCTATGTGAATCCGGTATAGTTAGATGACTGCTGTCAATGCGATGACTATAGGGTGGAACATACCACGCCCACAACATGGACACCCCCAGGAGGAAGAATACTGCATATTCGTATTTGGAGAAAGGGGCATGTTTCCGGTGCTGATGGGAGGAATGGGTGCTCTCATCGTCGGGGTCAACCGGCTGCTCGATTGCCTCATAGGTCGGCCGAGGAGAGATAAGTCTCCGGATGCGATTCATTGTGGTGGTTTGTCGGATTGTCCCTGTTCAGAAGTTGAGGCGGGACAGTAAGTCGTACGAGACTCAGCCCATGATGGTCGAAGGGAATGAGACAGGGAAGATCAGCGGCGACGAGAGGACGAGCAACGGTGGTCATGAGGCCGTGACGCTCGCCAAGACAGGCAGGCCGGGTGACTAAGGCGACGCTTATCGGACACAGCACAAAGCACAAGGTACAAACACCACGGAGAAGTAGAGATGGGTATTATATTTTATCTATCCATTCATCAGAGCTGGGCCACGCGAGTGTGTCAAAGATCCCGTAGTAGATACATCCAGAGTTGGTGGCCCAGCCGTCTAGACAAAGTGTATGTGCCCCATACAGGCTATATACTCTACACCGCGCAAGACAAGATAACAAAGAAAAGGAGAAGGGAAAGGTCAGAATCTATCCAAACGATTGGCCAGCCTACTGCTTCTGCTGACCGCGTTCGCCACTTGCGTCTTCAGCGTCGGCATCTGCTTCAGCTTGAGCTTCAGCTTGAGCTTCAGCTTCCTCTTTCTCCAACTCCCACAGTTTCTCTTCTGTCGCTGGGCTGATGGAAGCGTTGGTCGGAGTGTTCTCGCCGCCACTGATCTGCCACTCCATCAGCTTCGTGAAGGCACCATCAGGACGAGCGCTGAGCTCCTCATATGTTCCCTGCTCCGCCACCTTTCCGTCAGGTGCGAGAACAATGATCGTGTCAGAGCGCTTGATGGTAGAGAGTCTGTGAGCGATGCTGATTGTCGTGTTATTCCCACGAAGAAGGGCAGCGAGGGCACTGTTAACCAATGTCTCGGATTCGGCATCAAGGGCAGAAGTTGCTTCATCCAGGATCAAGATATCGGGATCCTTGATGAGGGCACGTGCAATGGCAATACGTTGCTTTTGTCCACCGGAGAGTTGAGCTCCGCGAGGTCCAACCTGAGTATCTAGGCCATCCGGCTAGAAAACGTTAGTCAGGGTTATAGCCAAAAGTGGGGTTCAACTTACGAAGTCGCTAATGAACTGGCAGTTCGCCTTCCTGGCTGCTGCGACAATCTCAGACCTTGTCGCCCGTGGCCTGCCATAGGCAATGTTCTCAGCAACTGTTCCCGAGAACAGGACGGGCTCCTGTGCGACAACACCGATCTTCCTGCGAAGGGACTTGGCGTTCATCTCGCTGATGTCTTTACCGCCAATCAAGACACGCCCGCCTGTTGGGTTGTAGAATCGGAGCAGAAGCGAAGCAATGGTCGACTTTCCTCCTCCTGAAGGCCCCACAATGGCAACGTTCTTCCCTTGCGGGATCTCAAAGTTCAGCTCCTTGAAGATAGGAACGGCAGGCCGTGTCGGGTAGCTGAAATTCACATTCTCGAAACGGATAGGGCCACGGGCAGATTCAACTTTGTTACCCTTAGTAGGGGAGATCGATGGCTGACGGTCCTGCAACTCGAAGAGACGACTAGCAGCACCGACACCTTTCATCAACTCGGAGTAAAAGCTAGAGAGACCGAACATGCTGGAACCAGCATAGGCAGTATACATCAAGAATGATGTCAGCTCTCCGAGCGTGATGCCACCAGACTGAACCATGCCACCTCCAACATAGAGCAGCGCCAAGATCGTCATGTTGCCCATGAAGCCAGTCTGGTTATGTTGTCAGAAACCTGCGCCAGATTAGATCGACAGGACTTGGAAGACACATACCGAACTGAAGAATGTAGCACTAATCAGGGACTCTCTCTTGCCAAGCTCGAAGATCTTGCGCACTTGGTTGTTGTACCGGTTGACTTCGAGAATTTCACCAGCAAAAGACTGACTGGTCTTGACGTTGCCCAGACGCTCTTCTGCGATCTTGGTCAAAGTACCGAGGTTTCTTTGAATCTTGCGGCTGAGGTTCCTTACCGCTCTACCATAGAAAAAGGCTCCAAGTCCAATGGGGGGCAGCAACAGAAACAAGATGCTAGAGAGCTTGAGACTGACATAAGTCATCAGTCCAAAGCCTGCTGCACCGCTAACTGCTGCCCGCAAGCCGTCCGACAAGTTCTGCGTGATACTCTTGCCCACAATAATGGTGTCAGACCCAAGCCGAGAGATCAAGTCGCCTACTCTGTTCGCATCGAAGAACTCCGCATCCTGAACAAAGGTGTTGCGGAACAGCTTCGAACGAAGTCTAGAGACAATGCGCTCACCGACGATGCGGAGAATGACGATGCGACCATAGTTAGCAGCGGCACCCAAGGTAAGGATACCGGCCAGAGCACCATAAAACATCGGCACGCTCAATCCAAAGAGCTGATCCCCACCTTCCTCGGAAGGCTTGGAGGCTGCATCCATGATTTTACCAATCGAGAAGGGAACAGACATTGTGATTGACGAGGAGATGAGCAGGAAGAAGAAAGCAAACCCGAGCTTCCTAGCTTCAGGTCGCGCGATAAGCAGGAGCCTCCATATCTCTTTGAAACCGGCTTTCTTTCCGCTAGCACCATCTTTCGCCAGCTTGGCTGAAAGATTGACCTGCGCAGCTTGTGCTCCTTTCTCCGATATCTCGAAGCCCTTGTCTATCTCTTCATCTTCCTTGTCCTGAGCCGTGCTGTTGTTCGTTTGAGACGATTGCGTTGATGCGTCCGCAGGCTTAGCGTCCAATGACCGTTGCGTAGAAGAGAAGGACCGAGATTGTGCTGCTAATTGCGTCCGTATGATAGAAAATCGTGAGCCATTATTGTAAGTGAAGGGCAGTCCAGATGTCAGCGAAAGGTTGTTGCGCAATGGACTTGTTACCCCCGAGAATTGTCGGCGGAGAACACCGGAAACACCAATTCCGGATTGATATGCATGAGCTCCAGAGTAGAACTCTTTAAGAATGCTTCCATTCACCTGGGCTCCCCGCCTGGTGGTGATCCTGGGGGCCCAGGAAGCCAGCAATCTGGCTCCGCGCATTTCGGACGAGAGTAGAAAGCGGAATCGGATGGCTGCTCAAATGGATGCCAAACGAGATAAGCAGGATGCCATATCCTACTAGATGAGCGAGGATCTGCCGAGACGCATGACACAGCCAAAGTGAACTGCTCTTCTGAAGACCGCTAGCGCTTGCAAGTCCGAATAATGTCAGCCGTGAATCCGCGAGACCGGCCATCGCCGTCCGGCCTCGCATCGGCCATGGTTCTGCCCGGCGACACCGCCTGCCCCGATTCCGCGGCCGTCGAAGCTGGTCGAGAGCTTTCGATGACTGCTCCAGACGCTGGCAGAGGCAGCGCGCGTGCATTTCTTCGTTCCTGAGACCTGAAGCTTATCTGGGCTTGAGGTTGTTGACTCTTCATCCTTAAGAATTAAATCCGGTTTTAGCTCTTACACCTCCTTTCTAGTTCGATACATTCCAGAATCTACCCCACCCTCACCCCTCCTATACAGTCCACTACATTCCGCCGTCGCCCAACATGGTGCTCGACTACAGCAAATGGGATGCGCTTGAACTCTCGGATGACTCCGATATTGAAGTGCACCCCAATGTCGACAAGCGTTCGTTCATCCGGGCCAAACAAGCTCAGATCCATCAACAGCGTTCCCAGCGCCGCTATGAGATCGATACTTTGAAGTACGAACACATTGTCAACGACGGCCTGCTTTCCAGAATCGATAAACTCCTTACATCCCTGAAGCAGAATGAGGGCTCCAAGAGTGTTGAAGAAGTCATCTTCCAAAACCTTATGGAATTCGCAGGCAACCCCTCGGAGGACCACCCCCCCGCGCCCCCCGCGGGAGTTCACACCCAGGAGAAGGAGCAGCCTAAGTATTCGCAGATGATGAGCGCTCTGCTTGATCAGGTCAAGAAGGAGATGGGCGATGCCAGCACGGAGGACCTCTATCAGGAGTATATCAAGGGCGTGAAGCGACACGAGGATAAGGTACAGGGCTTGCAGATGGAACTGCTACAAAGACTCGCCCAGCTTGAGAAGGAAGAGCGCAGCAAAATCACCAGCGATAAGTTGCATGAGGGGTTCAACACTTCCCACATTGCCAAGGGAGGCGATGCGAAAGGCACGGGATCGTCACAGCAGACGGGGACGGTCGAGCTTCTGAATCCTGGAGCATCAACAGCGGGCTCGTCTCAACTGGCTGCTGCTGATGATGATGACGAAGAGGAAGATCCCGAGGATATCAAGGCCAGCGACCTAGCCAAGCGATTTGCAAAGATTGACCGTAGTGATTACCGTGCTTTGCTTCAATTTGTGTCCGCGAACCCGCAGATCGTCGCCGAGAAGGAAACGGATGGTCTACTGGTCGAAGCTTTCAACAGCCAAATGGAAGGGAAGGAGGACTACGCTCGCACGTGTGTCCACCAAGGCTTGTTGCTGCAGTACTGCCGCTCCCTCGGCCGTGACGGAATCTCTCTTTTCTTTAAACGGTGTGTATGCGAAACCCCAATCAAGATGAACAACCCACTAACAGGTATACGCTTATAGTATCACGACCGCGGACCACCAGGCAGGAACTCTCTTCCGTAATGACGTCAACGAAACCTATAATAAGATCAAGACCCGTGCTGCGGAGCTTGCAAGGGACAGCTCTGCATCCAACGATCCGGCTGGCGTGGAGCAGATCCAGCTGCATGCAGTTGACCCTAACACTAAGATCACCATCAACATCCCTGCTGCTGAGAGCAATGAGCCAATTGAGATCGAGGCACGCAAGGTCTTCGAGTCCTTCTCCAAGGACATGCAAGCAGCACTCGCTTCGGAGTCCCTAGATGAGGTCAACAAGGTCCTCGGCGAGCTGAGTGTCGAGGAAGCTGAAGATGTAGTTGAGAAGCTGGGACAGAGTGGCATGCTGAGCCTCGAAGAAGGCATCGTCGACGCGACCACTGAAGAAGGTAGAAAGAAGCTGGAGGAGATCGAGGCCGAGAATAAGCGGGAAAGAGAGGAAAAACAAGAGATAGGAGAGCCGGGGGGTGATGTCACTGAGCTGGACTGAGGGCATGAGTGACTGTGCATCTGCTGAATGATGGGACGTGTATATTCGACAGCAGCTGTCATACTGTTTATTCGGCTTATACTATACTCAAATTGCTTGTAATGCATCTACACGCCTGGCACGGGTATAATTTGTAATGTAATTTCTTTCTCCTCGTAACATGTACACTTGGTGATTATCAGCTCCGTTGACGTTTAGAGTATGCACCGCACTTTTTAGGGGGTAAGGTGAATCAAAAGAGGCAATTAAGGGGTTCTAATGTCGATGTGATCTACCTACATCAAGGGAAAATAAGGGAGATAAGAAGACATGTGTTTGAGAATTGAAGAAAGAGACACATGTACTGAGAAGAAAACCATTAGCTCGAGGAACGTGGGGCTGTGTAGACATGCACGGTCGAGTGGAGAATGTGATAAACACCCGGAGGAATATGAAAGGTGGGAGTCATGAAAGCGGGCGCTGGAATGCAGAAGGCATGGTATCTCCGTAAGTGCTTCAATTCTCTTCAAGTGGGTTTTATCATCGGACTGTGGACTTGCGTAGATGTCGGGGGTTTCCCGCATCTACCAAGACTCCGTATGATTGCCATTCCTGATCAAATCGATTACTTAAACACCACCGGCACCGGGGGCATTCTGGTCCTTCTTGAGGTCCAGGAGCATCTCTCGGAAGCGCTCCTTACCGGAGCCACTAGCACCACCCTTGGATCCCTTTCCAGAGATATCAACAAGCTTCGCAATGCGCTCCCAGCTGGTGCCTCCGGACGAGGTATCCTCCCGGTTGGCCAGGAATTGATCCGCCTCGGCGCGGGTCTGAGAACGAAGCTTGTCCGTCTTGTTGTTATACGAGACATAGAAGTCGTCGATATCCTCGCGGGCCTTGGTGATAGTAGCATTCTTTTTCTCCTCCGAGATCTCCGTACGACGTTGGATGTCCGCATCTCGGCGCTCCCGCCATTCGCTGTAGGTGACCCACAATCAGCACATAGAACTTAAGTGACGTAGTACCGAGTAGGGAGCGCATGTACTGGCCCCTAAAATATTAATTCACTTACCGAACAGGCTCTGGATCCTCCTCTGGCGCCTGGTAAGTGTAGTTGGAATATCCGGTGGGTGGGAAGGGGGCACCAGATCCGGTGATGGTGCCACCAGGGGCAACTTGCTATTGAATTGCAATCGGATTAGCGCACGAATGCTTCAATTATCCATCATAGATATCCCATACCTCATTCTGTGTATCAAGAGCCGGGAAAGAAGATTCGAATCCAGCGATCTCCTGAGGTTCAGCACCAGCGGCCGGAGCGACATCCGCACCACCCAGTAAGTCGTCATTGTTTACATCGTCGGCAGCGACATGGTCTTGGGGAGTCGCAAACTGTTCTGCGTCATCACCGAGCATAGCCCGTTCGCGAGCTAGGAAATCATTTTCATCCGAGGCACCGTTGGTTTCAACAACTTCGGTCTGGCCTAGAAACCGGTTAGTGTCATGTAGTGTTGGCGGGCGATGATGCGGACTGCTCACCCGCAGAGAAGTCCTCCAATGAAGGGAAGCGATCCGCCATTATTGTCGCTTAATGTAGTTTGAGAAAATGAGAGTGATATGTGCAAGAAATGCTTGATTGTGAGATTGGGGGAAATGAGAAGAGACGGGAATGTGAATGTGAGGCTCCAGCTGGCGTCTTGAGGATGCGGACGGACCGTTCCAACTATGAATGGAGAACCCCCCGGATTCTGCCGGGGAAGGCGGTCGCGCAGCTACACTGCTCATTAAGGTGTGACGGATGAGCTTCACTCTCCCCAAGAACCCTTCTCTCCTTCACGCCAGATCTCCCTCGTGGTGCCCGTATCAGCTTGGCTTTATCTTGAGGTGAACCCCGCCATCACTTCTCTTGGCTGGCGGATTGTGTCCACAGTCATTCATTTCAGCATACGCGCCTAGGGAATAACGATCCAGCCTCTAGCTTGCGACGAGCTAAACACACTACACTCACACACCATTTGTTGCCTTTTGTCAATAGGATTGCTTTCCACCGTATTCATATCATAGAGGAACCGACATGGCATATACAGATGATGCCGTGAAAGCGAAACTTTCAGCTCTCAATGAGACGCAGGAAGGCATTGTCACAGTTGCGCAATGGGTCATGTTTCACAGGCAAGACGACAGCGGTTCAAGTATCCTAAAGCCTTGCTAATATGTCCCTTGAATTTCAGACGCCATGCCGACCGCACAGCACAACTCTGGCTGCAAAAGCTACGCGATTCGCCAGCGCCGAAACGTCTGAACCTGATCTACTTGGCTAATGGTATGGCTTGTCTTTCCTTACCGGCGGCAGTCTGGTACTAACAACGATCCCAGAGGTTGTGCAACAGTCAAAAGCCCGGAGGAAGGAGGACTTCGTCGTCGCATTCTCACCGGTCAGTATCACCATACCAGGTCCTGCGAAGCACTAGACGCTAACGTTTACCAGATTATCGCAGAGGCCACGGCTATCGCATACAAGGGATCCTCGAATGATATCCAGCAAAAGCTTCGTCGGGTGGTTGAAGTGTGGAGACAGAGATCAATTTTTGAGCTTCCCATCCAGGAGGCTGTAGAAACTCGCGTCGATGGTAAGGTGCCCTTCACCTTTGCTCCATTCATCCGACTAACTCAGTCACAGAAATCGACAAATCGCGCTCTACCGGTAAAAAGCCGTTGCTAGGAGGCTCGCTGTTTTCAAACTCGTCAGGATCAACACCGCCTGAGCTCCAGCCTCTTGTACCCCTACAATCGACCCTTTCCAAAGTTACGTTGGCTTCCGTGGCACCAACTGCAGTGGGGAATGCGGAGTATGATAAGTTGCATGATCCCAACACACCTTTGCCTCCACCTCCAGTGCATGCTGCACGACTCAGCCACTTGTTGAAAGCCCTTGCGAACGCAGAGAGCTCTGTCTCAGAGGTGATTAGATCACGCCGCTTGCTTATCGACGGTCTGGAGAAGCTGCTCGAAACCAATCGCTCAGCCTTGTCGAAGGAGGAAGCCATGGCTGCACAGTTGAAAGAAAGAAAAGCGGAGACGGAAGCGACGAAGCGGGAGGTAGAAGATGGGATCATGCGGGGACTCTCTGCTGAAAACTCGCCTGCGGTCAGCCATGGAGATTCTGGGTTAGAGGGAGAATCTATCTCCCGTCCTGAAGTTGAGGCCCTAACTCCCCCGCCTGTAGAGGCCCTTACTCCTGTTGGTTCCCCCAAACAGGCAGCACAGGAGACAATTCCTGCTACGGCACCTACTCAACCTCAAATTCTAGGTGGTTTCACCTTGCCAGGATTCGGAGCCCCCTTCGATTCTTCCCTTGCCATGGCAGGTCTCCCCTCTACGGGTCTGAACGATCACCAACTGGACGGTTCAAATGGGCTTCATGCGAAGAAGCGCAAGGTTACCCACGAGGAGGAAGATTATGCTCAGTTTGCAAGCGGCGATTTAGATGCCGATGTTGCTGAGCTCCTGAAACAAGAGAGTGATGCCCAGCAGTAACCTCCTTCGTGGCGGAGCATCTGTTCAAAACGCTTTGCTTGCCGACACCTTTACCATTTGAACCTCGTCTGTTCGATTGTCTCTTATGCCACTTACTGAAGTTGTAGGTATTCCCTTTCCGTAGTAAGGGGCCGCAGCCATCCGTGCTTTTACGATAATAGCTGGATATCCGCTGTTTATGTGATTAGCAATGTATTTTTGAACGTGTTGTCCATGGGCAGATAATATTCTTTCACAACGAATCGACCGATCGCTGAATTCATTTGAATTAGTTTCATTACTATTATCATCGAATCCTGAGATGCGAGCTATCGATATATATCTGGATCACCCCATTTGTTTCTCGCTGCCCGTGACAAGGACGGGTGTCTCTTCCGGCGGGATATGATCTCAAATGCTCGCGGGGCCATGGCGGGCGGCTGTTCATTTTGCGGGGGAGGAGGCGCCGGCGCCGGTGCCGGTACCGGGGCGGGATCCGGGGAACTATGTTTCTTCGGCTTCACCAGTAGAACGATGAACAAACCTGCCACCAGGATCACCAACAGGAGAAGGATTTTGCGCTTCACTGTACGTCGTTGATAGTTTGTGGCCTGTGAGACACAGCCTGATTAGTGAAAGTCTTCTCGGTACAGCGCATATGACGTAGACATACCACTTTGAGCTCCTTATCCGCGGCCTTGACCTCCGTCCCCATCCGCTCAATATTATAATCTATCCGGTCCAGCATAGTACCCTGGTCAATAACCATAGCCTGTAGCTCACGGAAGATGTCCGACAATTCGATGATGCCTTTGGCGATGTCGTTGATTTCCCGCTCCCGCTGCTCAATGGCGGCGTCATTCTGACCCGTCAGGCGTTGCGACGTTTGCAGCAGCGTAGACTGCGAGAATGACTTGTCCGCGTCAGACTCCATCAACGAAGGGTCTGTGTAGGGGTTCTGCATAGGTGTCGGGGATCGTTCAAACGGTGCTGATCCGCCCTCCAGTCCTCGTAACTCTACCAGCCCATGCGGTTAGCTCAACAACCAAACCACAACAAATCCAGGCAATCTCACTCTTCAAGTAGTTACTCTGTTTCTTTCGAAACCGAGCACTAGCCTCCTGTACCCTCGCAGCAAGAGATATCTGCAGGTTCTTCGCCATAGTCTCATCTCCGCTGCTTACTCCACCCTGTTGTTTAGCCTCCCGCACCATCACCTCGATCTTCTGAACAGCCTTCTGGCACATATGGAAAGCGCGCGTGATCTCCTGTGTCAGTCGCTCTATTACAGCTTCGTCCTGCTTCCTCGCATCCTCGTCGCCAAATCCAGGTAGAAGGTGCTTCTGGTGTAATTTATCTAGGAGGGCGGACTTCTGCGCGATGTCGGCCAGTAGTTCCGTCACTTCTTCCTGTACGTCGACCCAGCGCGGGGGTAAAACGTCCATCTCGATAATTGCGTCGCCATCATCGTCGAGTCCTCCAGTTTCCGAAATGAGTCGTCGGCTTTCTTCGGGCTGTGATGTGCTATCGGAGAAGCCCTTGGATGCTCCGAGATAACGTGGCTTCTTGGCTGGGTGATGCGCGAACGACTGGCGGTAGGAGATATACCTGTGTTTTGGGAAAGTAGTTAGTTTTCCTGGAACTCGCAATGTAAAATGCTCCGAGTTGGGGTATGTTACAGGTTGGTGCGGTCCCGCCACATTGTGAAGGGTTGTTGTTCTGCGGTAATCCTTCGTCGGGGGTGGTCTTAGGCTACCCTGATCATTGTCGGCCCAGGGATGCGGTCTGAGGAACACCGAGATAACGAGCCGCAAGAACTCGGAGCACAGGATATCTGGATATAGGGCGTTCAAGGCGATGAGAATTGAGGCCGTTTCGGCGTAGACTTGTATGCAGCAGGATGAATCCGATAGCACCTCTGTACTTCCCGGAGCTCGATCTCCATGTTGCACATGAAGGGACGACCGCACCAATCCCGATGCGGTAGCAGCCGCGCCGATCTAAATATATTACGTCAGCCACGATGCTCGATGCCCATGACTGAGTAATTATGCGAGATTATGCATCATGATCGAAGAGGCCGTCGTATTCGGGGGATGATGTCCGGAAGGGGGATGATATGTCCATCATGTGTGCCTCTATGGACTTGGCTTTCCTGTCTCAGTACAACGGTGCTGGCTTTACGACTCACTTGCAGCACCGCCACGGCTCTTGGTAAGAGCACTGTTGCGCTGTTTCAAATGCTTAGACACCCTTGGTTGGCTATTGTTACGGCGTGAGACATGTGTCACCTGTTCTATCTACATGATACTCGCTGGCAAACGGTGAAAGGTCCACTCTAATACAGACCGAAAAGTGCCATGGAGCTCGCAAGCACACATAGGAAGAAGGATCATGTGGACGTTTCTTTCCTATCAAGCAACCTTGTCGCTGTTGTAGATTGTTAAGATCAAGCTTGTGATAGTGATACGTGGTGGGACCCTCAATTGACATTGAACGGTATTTCGGTTGCAATACTGGCTGGCCGCTTGTGCATCAATATCAAGCAGTCGTAGAACTTTCAAGTAGGTCTGCCCAATCAGTAGTCTCAATCCAAGTACAAAGTGACCCCTAGTGTTAATTCGATTGCTTGATGCCGACACTACCAATGGGGACGTCGAACTATACAATTACCAGTCTATATCGATCCATGTCGAGGTCAGATTCGTGCTCGGGCACAGAATATACCAGACCTAGATATTATGTACTATACCGCCATGACCACCATAAGAATGGTGTCTAGGAATCGAGTTGAAGGCATCTAAATCAGTGGAAGAATCATATAATAGCTCATAGTAGCATAGCTGAATCGTCAGGTACAAAAGTGTCTCGTAGAAAGGTTCCCAGGTAAAGTGTTTGAACAAGGTTCGTCCTGGACGAGCAGGCGGGACTTGTTGCCTTCAAGCTTTGGTACTGCCGGGGATCCACGGCAGTAGTCGTCAGCAACTGGGCAGAAGGTACATAAGGCATACATACAAGGCTGCACCCAACATGCGGCTATTAGAGTGATTGCGACAAGGCAACGGGCGTTATCAGCAGGCAAGTATGATGGGATGCAGCAATCATGCAGCGGTTGGGAAGAAAAGAACCAACCAATTCATGGGGAGGGACGGGGAAAGGAGGCGAAGTGAGTGACAGACGGGCGCGGGCAGGTCAGCCTTTCCAGGCGCTGCGGGCACATGGTGGCCAGGGCGGGTCACGTTTCAGGCATAAGCGACCGCCTTGCCAGGCGTCCAGCTCAGTGGTCATTTATTATTATGATGGATTCGGGTTCCCCTTAAATCATCTTCCACCACCACCAACACCACCTCCTCCTCCCCCGCTGCCTTTACCGCTACCGTCAAACCACCGGCTTCCCTGTTCCTTTTCGCCTAAATCTACGGATTTCCTTTCTATCCCGTCACTTATTACACACAGTATTAACCATGGTATGTGTCTCCTTCCTCGCCGTCCTGGCCAGTTGTGTTGAAAATCCCCCACTTTGCGGGGCAGATCTCCCTGGCATTCTTGACAGAATTGCTTACATCGCAACGTCTAGGCCGACTCTCTGACTGAAGAGCAAGTTTCCGAGTACAAGGAGGCCTTCTCCCTCTTTGTAAGTTCCCCCTGAATGACTTCCGACCAGCGAAAGCGATAGGTTACTTCACAAGAATACATACTCATGTGCTTTGATCCAATAGGACAAGGATGGCGATGGTGGGTGGAATTCTGTCCCTTTCATGTTTATCTCTGGCGACTGAACCGACCGCGGGGTTGCCGTCTTCCGACCGACTTGAACTTAATACTGATGTGACTTGGGGAATAGGCCAGATCACCACCAAGGAGCTGGGCACTGTCATGCGCTCGCTCGGCCAGAACCCCTCCGAGTCTGAGCTCCAGGACATGATCAACGAGGTTGACGCTGACAACAACGGCACGATCGACTTCCCCGGTATGTGGCGTGTTGATATTTATAGGAAGAGGGAATGCGGGCCAGATATTAACTTCTGCCAGAATTCCTTACCATGATGGCTCGTAAGATGAAGGACACCGACTCCGAGGAGGAGATCCGCGAGGCATTCAAGGTCTTCGACCGCGATAACAACGGTTTCATCTCCGCTGCGGAGCTCCGTCATGTCATGACTTCCATCGGTGAGAAGCTCACCGACGACGAGGTCGATGAGATGATCCGTGAGGCGGACCAGGACGGTGACGGCCGCATTGACTGTACGTTTCTCATTCTTAACCATACGCATTTAATATACTAACCTGGTGTCCAGACAATGAGTTCGTCCAGCTCATGATGCAAAAATAATCGGCTTATCATGTTCAATTTGTCTTGTGTTAGCGGAAAGGGTGGGAGCAATGAAATCTACTCCACTAGTCCCATCTTTTATCTCAAACCGTCTCTTGTAGTCTCATCATTTGGCTATGATTCATACTTCCACTAACGGTCGAGCGCTTGCATTATCGTTGTTGATTTTGATGTTGCAGGGACGGTAGAGGCGACCATAAGTCTAAACTGATTGGAGCAAGCTGAGGCTGAAGGTATCGGATCAAGGGTACTGGATTTTCCCGGGCGCTGCTGCTTATCATTCATCATGCCATCATTTCCTCTTTCCCCTTCCCCGTTGTCCATAGGTCTTGTTTTCGATTTGTGCCTAATTATCCCATCACCCGTAGCGACTCGAATGCATATGATAACATTCAATCGCTTATCGACAACTGATTTCAATATCGACATGGGATGACTGTAGCTGCTGGCATTTAAATATATTGCCAAACAAAGCAAGCTTTCAGATGGCGACAGATGATGAGCGCTTGTGTGACATGGCCGACAACCCCCTCCAGTGCGTATCACACGCCACTGAAACTCAATCTACGAGAGATCTACGCCAGATCTACCATAGACTACCTTCATATCAAGGGCCCTCATAGAGGCAGATTGGATCGCATACATCGACGCAATTATCATCTCAAATTTAAGTCCTCTCATCCTCACCGATTAAACCTAAGGATCTCCATAAATTGCCTTGCCACATCCACCCCCGCATCCGGATCGGGATCCTCCTCCACCTGCTGCAAACCCTTATCATCGAAGACAGCCTGCGAGCCTTTTTGCTTCAACCTTCTCAAACGATTCTTGGCCTCCTTCCCCACATCCGGCAGCAGAATCGCTTCCCTGGCTCCATCGATGCCCAGCCGGGCCCAGAACTCCCGAATCAACGCGGCACTCGCCGCATATTCGGCATCGATATCCGCATCCTCAATAGCATCCGGGAATGCCATATCAATTGCGGAGTCATCATCAGCTATTTGCCCACCCCCCTGCTTCCTAGCCAGACCATGCGCTGAAAGTGAATCCACTACAGACGGACCGCGCCACTCAATCTGGACAACAGTCCCCCGAACCCTCGCTGCTGGTTGCGTTTGTCGCACATCCCCGACTCGGACCCGGAAATCACCCACATCGTAGACCGCACCACCCGGCACGGTCGTCGTGTGTCGATGGCACCAGAAAGGCTGGCAGGCGTAGCAGAAATGCTGGAAGAGAGAGTTGCAGGATGGAAGTGGCACCGTGGTCATTACCATCGGGCCTCCGGACTGGGATTGCTGCGCTGCGGCAGAGGAAGTGGGAGGCACTGGTGTTGGGCCTGGAGCTCCCATTGGAGTAGGATTGGCCGGTGCTCCGGCTGTAGAGGGGGTCGGGCGGTGGTGTCCACCTTTCTCGAGCGCCTCAGAGGTGTAGATGAAGCCATGGTTTGCGTGGAAAGATAGTGAAAGGAATTGCATGTAGCGCGGTTGCACTTGTCGTTGGGAGGCTGAGGCAGGAACACATGATGGTGTATCTCGCATTAGCCTGTGTTCTAAGAACCAACGACCTACTAATGTTGGTTCCTCTGCTAAGGCTGTGTGCAGGCGTTCGGTGACGGTCGCCAGCCCTGTTGAGGCATTGGGATTTGATGGGATGAAGTATACCCTGGGTGGGGTGAGTTAGTCTCAGGGTTCAAGCGTGATGGATACTTTGTCGCGCGCTTACCCTGTGATAGGCATCTGTTTTGTATTTGGGGTAAAGCTCTATGGAAGTTTCTTTCCGATCTTGATCGGGCTGGTTACGGATGCAAGCACGTGCCTGTGATGAGAATGCAAGAGGGGTATCTTCTAAGCGCAAGATGATGGAGGGAGTGGATTCAATTGCTAGCGACTGTGATATCAAACTGCGCAGCGCATGTTATTCTTCGTGCCAAGGGTGCTTATGTCTATTGCTGAATCAGTAAATTGACAGTAAGGGAAGTAAGATGTGCTAGGGGCTGGATTGTTGGTGAGAATCCTTACGTATTGGGTCCAATACGGAGTCCTTGGTAATAAGGATGTTAATTAATATGTTCTAATTTCGTCGAATGTCTCGAGTGTTGGCCCCAAACCATGCAGTTTGACCCGTCATGTGTTGCTTGGAGCAGGTTGCCAGTGTCGATGCCTGGACGGCCAGGCACCGATGCAAACCGAACAAAACAGGTTCACGCATCCTGGCCATTGGCCTGGCCGCCTGGGGCTTTCTCTCCCTCCAACCTCCGTATTGGCGTACTTCGTGGCGTTTATCCAGGCCCGCCTCCACCTCACACGCAATTAAATCTTGGGCCGTCTGGGTCTCGGGGGTCCACCTCGAGCATTCTATCCCCGACCCTATCCTTGACTGAGCAACCAAGGGCGGCCCTCTGAACCGTCTAGACCTGAGTCTCTGAATCTGCCAACCCCAGGGGAACAATTCCATCCTCTCTGTCAGTGCCAAGACGCGGGACAAATACTCCGTCAATGAGGCTGAGACCACAAGGGGGTCATAGTTTTGCAGTCGAAGACGTCAACAAGTCAAGAATAGAAAATGGCACCCGCTAAAGTCGGATTAACCCTCCCCCTTCGCGATCCTTGAGGCTGGTAAGGGTCCAAGGGGCCACTAGCTTACGCAATGAGCAGATCCTTCCGCCATATTGCTTGTTTGCGCTCCGCTCAGCTATTACTTACTCCGGTAAGCTCAGTCGTCACTGAACCTTTTTGCGGGTTCACGCTCGCCGCTTTGCGACCAACATGCCACCCAGGACTGGGCGCTGGGGGGATGGAGCAATAAACGCTTGGATGCAACATGCCTCCACTGCACCGTCCATGCTTATTTGTTAGCTTTAGCTGGGACAGAAAGGCCGGACCAGGGGCGATTCCTTGCGAGTTGCGACAGGGTATATACGGCCCCCCGATGCCTTGTTCAGTTCGTACCGGCGTGTTGCCCTTGCGAAGAACCGTCGTCTCGATCAGTCCTTTCGAGTCGACCTTGCAAACCATCCATCCCCTCGTTTAATCTCGTGCTCGGTGTCAACAAGCTGAGCCGACTTCTGTTTAGCCTCGCATCGAGCATGCTCTCGCATCCCCGATGCTACCTGTCTCTTGCTTAATATAATCCATTGCTGTATCCCTACAGCTGTCCTCTCCCTTAGTGTCCTTTCGTCGTTTATTTAGCGATTCTTAATCCAGTACTTCTCCATTGTTCGCCATGATGATATCACGACGGAGCTATCTGCTTCCCACTATCATTCTCCTGTGCATCACATACGCCCTTTTCTCGAACCTCCCGCCCGGTGCGGAGCCACCCAATGCCCACAATCACCTATACCAACAGTATGCGACCGACCCTCCTCCACCCAAAGAAGGTAGGACTCGTTGGCGCAAGCATGTCGAACAATACCCAATCTCCGATTATATACCCCTTCCCACGTCTGCGACGTCCCCCATCCCACGGATTCAGTATGACTTCCCTAGGGAGTCGTGGTTCGCGCGATGGGGAAGAGTGAAGCGACAGCGTGCGGTCAAGAAAGCATTTCAACATGCATGGAAAGGATACAAGGACAATGCCTGGCTAGAGGATGAACTCTCACCCTTGACCGGTGGCCATCGCGAGACATTTGCGGGTTGGGCTGCTACTCTAGTCGATTCCTTGGATACGCTCGTTATCATGGGCCTTATGGACGAGTTTGAGGAGGCTGTGGAAGCAGTTGAATTCATTGATTTCACGACCACTAATGCCATCCAAATCAATATCTTCGAGACCAACATCCGTTACTTGGGAGGGCTTCTTGGTGCCTACGATTTGACCCATGGTAGATATCCGGTCCTCTTGAAAAAGGCAGTTGAAATCGCCGACATGATCTATGGATCTTTCGACACACGTAACCGAATGCCCCAGTCGCGGTGGGAATGGACCAGGTAAGGCAGATTATAGAGGCAGATTCCTCGGTTACCCAGAGAACCCGTTATCGCCTTGGGGTACCCTTCTCCAGTGAGCAGTGCCATGTTAACCGGGGTCTAGATCTGCTGGAGGTCTGAAAATTGAACCAGGCCGAAACACCATACTTGCTGAACTCGGGTCCTTGAACCTGGAATTCACGCGGCTGTCTCAGCTGACAAATGACCCCAAATACTTTGATGCTATTCAGAGGATCACCGACTTCCTCGAAGAATCCCAGGAAAAGACCAACGTCCCTGGGATGTGGCCCCTGATGGTAAATGCCAAGGACCTGGAATTTGCCGACCCCCGATTCACCATCGGAGGAATGGCTGACTCGACATACGAGTACCTCCCCAAGGAGCACATGCTGCTAGGAGGACAAACAAGCCAGTACCGTAAAATGTACAACTCCTTCATGAAGGCATTGAAAAGCCACTTGCTTTTCCGCCCTAAGACACTGGACGGCCGAGACATCCTCTTTGCCGGAAACATGCGCGTCTCCGAACCCTCCAACGGAAAGGAAACCCTAGAACCACAATGGGAACATCTCAAATGCTACCTGGGAGGCACCGTCGGCATCGGCGCTAAGGTCTTCGACCGTCCCGAAGAACTATCCATCGCACGAAAGCTCGTCGACGGCTGCATCTGGGCCTACGACGTCATGCCAACCGGCATCATGCCCGAAGTCCTACATCTCACCGTATGCAAAAACCGGGAAAACTGCAAATTATCCAAAAGTGCCCGTACGGGCAAAACGACCTCCGACGGGAAAAAGCTACCACCAGGCGTAGCTGATATTCCAGACGCCAAGTATCTACTCCGGTATGTTCCCAACATTTATTTACCTTGCCATCTCTTCTGAACTAATCAATTCCATGAATGACAGACCCGAAGCCATCGAATCCGTCTTCATCATGTACCGCTTAACCGGAGACACATTACTGCAAGATGCCGCATGGCGGATGTTCCAAAATATCGAGAGAATGACCCGTACCTCGTACGGACATGCCGCCATCTCCGATGTTCGGGATCCTGAGTCCCCGCAAATGGATTATATGGAGAGTTTCTGGTTGGCGGAGACGCTGAAATACTTCTATCTTATCTTTTCGGAGCCGGATCTGGTGAATCTGGATAAATATGTTCTGTAAGTGCTTTGTTCATGCTTTTTTTTTTTTTTTTTTCACATCTCTTTTCGGGGAATGGATTTACTAATAATGTTTGGGCAGGAATACGGAAGCACATCCGTTTAAGCGTCCGACTGCTGCGAGTCAATAATGCCGTTAGGGTTTGGGTTTATTGTTGTTGTATATAGTGCGCACAGGGCCTATGCATTCCGTGTGGGAGTTAGTGTTTCAGTCTTTAATATGGTCATCCGATACCCTACCGTAATGACCGTCCGCCTAGTCCCCTGTATATAAGAATCCTCTCATTCTTCTAAGAACTTTCCCTCCTGACTCTAGAAACATCTTCACCCTTCGACAGCTTCCGCACCGGGTATCTCAAAGAAACAGGGACCACATCAAGTCACGGCAGACATACAGTGACAGTTCTTATAACAATTTTACGCAAATATCATTCGCCGATAGAAACCCATGTTGTTGTTTTTTTTTTTTTTTATTTTGAGACGGTCTCCGCACAGAATAGACGTACGTCTCCGACCCTACACATCATGATTGGAGGGCGGATCTGAGAATAAATGGAAGTGGCCTGATCGTAGGTTTCATGGGAGGTCCAGCCATCCCTGCTCATGATTCCCGACAAGGCGTCCCAGAAGTCTTGGACTTCATTCCAGCCTTCACCATCCTCGTAATGTTGGCGAATTTCTTCCAGGGGTAAAGGTGATGGGGCACTCGGCCGTACGGCCGAAGAGATTCCACTTCCTGCCAGTGCAGACATCCTTTAGTAATAAGCCCCATTGGTCTAGTATGCGAATTTTTACTTTCTTCCCCACTTACTTCTGTATCCTGATTAGAGACTCTCGTAGGGGTAGAATATCCCCGTCCCATGTATTTCCCACGAAGTGGATAGGGTCTGTTAATGTTTTTCCAGTCGGGTATTGGAACACTTTGCTTAAGATGGGGTTTCTTTCTGCTGTGTATTTCTCATAGAGATAGACTAGGATCGAGTTGGTGACTTTGTCCTTCACAGCGTTTGGCGTCTTTTCGTCCAGTTGCTTAAAATTCTCGGGTAGTTCGAGGACCAGGTCCCCGTTGTAGTCGAGAAAAATGAGGATGACGGCCTTCGAGGAACAAAGGACCAGTGCCTGTGCTTTGCCAGTCGATGATGCTCGTGATATGACCACTATCGTCGACGAAAATGTTCGGAGTACGAAGATCGGGGTGCCATAAGAACGAGCCTAATATATCTTCCTCCTGTCGTCAAGAAGTCTGGCCCAGCATTCGGGTTTGGAATTCGAGCAATAACAGTCGTCCCGTTGCCCATGGTGAGCTTGAAAGACTTGTTGTATGACCCTTCCCCTATCTTTGCCATACTAACACAGGAACCAGAAGATGATGATTCCACAGCGATTTTCTGTAATTCAAGTATATCAAATTCACGATACCTCTCTTGAAGTTGTTGCCTTTCGTTCCAAACCCATCGTCCACTAGTATAACTAAAGAAATCCTGTGTATTTCCGGCAATATTAGCCATCTGGGGCTGAGGGCGTTGATAGGAATAATGTCGGCTGAAAATGGGGAAGAGGGTGGTCTCTCTAGACGCTGGCACAATACTCCGAATCCCTTTTAACATGCGAGGGAACTTAGGCATGATTGCTGCAAACTATCAGGCGGTCATGGAAAGGTTATCGTAGGAGTCGTAGCTTTCGGTTTGGTAGGCAGTCTCCTTAGGTATTAGTCATTACATATTTGTGTTGGAGAGCCGTGCGTACTGTGACAGATTCCCCCGCATATACGGAGTATAGCATCGTCCAAGTATAGCTATCAGCAGCAAGAGTGTAAGGAAATTCGTCAGCAAAATCCCTTAGATGAAAGTGCTTAGATCATATTCAGGACATGTAGGATGGGTACTAGACAGGCTATGACCTGGTGGTTTATATTTATATCGAGCAGATAAATAAACTCAGACACAACTGGGTTCGCAGCGAGGCGTAGTCTGAAATTAAGAGTAACTCATGGCAAGCAGGCGTCGCCTCTCATATGTATCCAGCACGACATACTAGAATCGTACATAAAGATAACCACACGATTATTTACGATCATAGATATTTTCTCTCTTCGAGAATCAGAAGGCTGACCATACAGAGGCATCACATACACTATTTACATTCCTTTCGATACGACCTAGCGACTCCAATCCGTTGCAGCAACACCCAAACTAGACCCCCCGCCACCATCACCATTATACTCAACAGAATACTCCACATCCTTGCGGATAATCATCTTTGAACTCCCACAACTTCCACCATCACTCCCACCGCCCCTCGCCTCCTCCATCTCCACAAGTTCCATCGTATGTCCAGCACCACACTCCAACCCTCCCGCCCCTCTAGACATCCTCCTCGACATCCTCCAAGATCTCCCCTCACCCGATGCTATATACGTCCCCCTACCCCCAGACCCCGAATCCACCTTCGCTGATTTTGACACAGCACTACTCTCTAGATTTGAATCCCCCGCTGTACCGTAGTTGGTGCTCACAGCCGCCATGAATGGTCGCAGACAGAAGACACTGCATGCCACGAGAGCGTAGTTGAGTTCTACTTGCGCCCAGATGATGGGTATGACGACGGAGAGGGTAGGATCGGGGGAGTGGACTTTGCGGTTGATTGTGTAGATGTGAAAGATGGAGAAGATTATTAGGCTAGGGGATTGGGTCAGTATTGTTTGAGAGAGCAGTAAGCATGCTACTCACGGCAGTCGAATCAAAAATGCAAACCCTATAGTGAATTTGCGCTGAAAGGGCATGAACAGTCCCCAGAGGAGGGCGATAGCTAGGCCGAAGATGATCAGTTCGGTGGTTATGTCTAGTGCAACGATGAATTGCCAGCGTTGGATCTTTGGTTGTTAGTTGCGGTTGGCTTAGATGACCTGGTTTGTTTGAAGGGGTTGGGGGGGGGGGGGGGGGGAAGTACCAGATTTACGCATTGTGCTCCGGATCCTTTCCAGGGGCGGTTGAGTTCGCAGTTTACTGCAATTATGAACACGGCTGGAATGACCCATGCGGTGCAGAGAGCGAGTGTGGCGAGGGTGGCTCGGTTGTGGGATTTCTGGGGCGTGAGGCGGAAATAGATGCCGCAGACGCAGCATTTCGAGATATAGATAGTGATTAGGTAGAGAATGTCACTAACTGTGATGAGCTGGAGGCGGTTAGGGAATAGTACTTATGAGCAAGTTATGATTTAGACGTACGGTCTGGATCTGGTTCACTTGCTCGGGCTTGAGCAGGTGGATTGATGTCCCGAAACCATTTGACACTGCGTCAAACAGCAATGCTGCTTGCACGATCGCCACGGCCTGTGGTGTCGACATTTGTTACTTTGGATCTGTGGTGCAGTCTGGTCGTAAATCAGGCAAGAGGAGTAACGTACCGTCGCTCCCAGGAGGAGATAATCGTCATACGCGAATGGCGGATGCAAAGCGAGCCGCACATAGAGCCGGATGAAGAAGCTGACCAGCGATAAGACCAGTCCAAGCGCCCCAGTGATAATAACCCAAGCTCCATGATGCAAATCATCGACCACCTGGAAAGGAGGCGATTGTCCCGGTGGGACATACGTGCCCATGGCGGAGGATGAGTCGACTCTCCTCGAATCTTAAAACTAGCAAAGCGAAAGCAAAGACCAAGTACGGGGGCATTGACCACGATAGCGGAGTCAACTTTTTATGCAGGGCGGAATGCTTGCTTGCTTTTCCACGGTATCCTCGTCATGGTTGGTTGCCAATCCCCTGGGCCTGATTGAGAGCCCGTGCATGACAAGCAAGATACATGATGCATGTGTCGGAGCATGTCTTCTTTCAGGCATGCCACCACCTGCTGGGATGGCAGTGTCGGGACAAAAATGATTGAGCTGACAGACGGATCAGCCGCTCCGTTGCCTCGCTTCAGAGGCTCAGAGAATGAAACGCGCGAATCTTCCTTTCCAGTCGTTGCGCAAAAGCAAGCATGACCACTGAGATGAGCAGTAGGTCTGCGCTGATCTAGATCCCCCAAATCAGCGCCATTAATGAACTGTGTGTCTACCCACTTTTACAGTCAGGTGGACGCACGAGGAGATGCAGGTTGTGGCGATGCCGATGGATCGTCGTTGCCGGTTGCGGATTTGATGCGGGAAACAGACAATCCCCCACGCAGCTTACAAACGGGATAAATTTCGATCTACGGGATAGGGAACAGGACGTTATTGAAAGCCCTTCTTCTATCAAGTACTATGCCCATTATCCAATGATGGAATGGAATCGATCTTGTTATTCAATACCTCCGTCCTCTCGCCCTTGATCTTCTTCCGTAGCTAGTGTTCCAGGATAGATACATGACGTCTAGCATCCTTCTATCCTCCAGAGCCGATCGTTCCCGTCTCAATTACTGAATTTATGTTAGCTACGTGCAACCCACTTCTGCTGTTTGACACGGAATGAATCGTGAAGCAGCTCTTGTTCTAGAGTAGGGAGAGGTACCCTCGATGTTTAACCACTATAACCGCACCCCTCGCCCTGCATTGCGTTTTGAATACATTGATGGAATTTGTCATAGTTCTCGTGATTCGCGCACCGTACGGCCAAATAACCACAGTTCTGAGCGTAACGGGTGGATGGAAATCCCAGAACAGCTGCTGAGGTGAAGGAAGCGAGCGATAAGATAGAGATAGTAAAGACGGTGACCTTCATTGTGCAGAGCAATTTGGGTAAGTGCTATGATTGGGGAAGCTTGAATGCTGAACTTGAAGGTCAAATTGATTTTGCAGAAATGGGGGATTGGGTTGCTTTTAGCGTAGAGAATGCATTGCGTAGGTCTCTTGTCATTGTCGAACCATGGAACTGTCCTGGTCAAGCTTCTTCCCATGGAGACATGATGACGTTCACAGAAGGTATACTAAATGTTCTAGACTCAGATAGAGCAACGCCTTATCAAGTTCCACCAAGCATCGTTTGCATTGACATGACCTGAGATTATGTAGCTTGGAGGTTTCTCTCTGGGCCTCAATACCAAATTTTATCCCCGCTGCGCGAAGCAATGGGTTCCAATTATGGAACTACTCTGGGAACAGTATCCCGGAGTGGTGATCCATGTGTTCATAATGGCAAGAATCTTGATTCTGATGGCTAAGTGTATATTCACGTTGTCTGAACGATCAGAATCCCGCTCCTCCTAACTTGACCTAGAGGCTGCTGGATAGAGGTCTCCAGTCACTGAAGTAACACATAGTAAGGGAGAGGTATCATGGAAGGCATACTATGCGGGAATAGACTGGCCAATTATACAAACAAAGGTCATCAATTCACATGCCACAACCAGGAGCTCACTCAACCAAGAACGGCAAGGTCCAGGCCATGTCAATGGCTTTCATTATGAATCTGTGAAACAATTCAGCGTGCTGATGGGAGCGGATCCCGGTTGAGTCCCACGTATCGGGGTTCGCTCATCCGGCATTCTATTTCTTCATGCTTACAAAAGCTGCAGATTAGTGGTCCATCCCATCTCTGTCTGCCTGTTCACGAGAAGGGTTGACTCTTCAAAGCTCAAAGCCCACGTTTTGTTATCCGCCGATAGTCGTGCAACCAACGTGGGGGTAATACGGCCCAGGCTGCCTCCAGGTCTCTCCGCGGAGATTGTCTGCCTTCGTTTTCCAACCCCTTACATGATATTAGGCTTCTCTAATGACCATAAGTAAGGACATATGTCAATGAGGTCTCAAAGATGGGTACCCTGAAACTTTGCAAGATGGATTCCATGCCCTACTGTTGAGCCGTGGCCTTGATGTCTTCGGTACAATCATCAATGTGCCCAGGTGCGCGCTCGTATAACAATCCCGAAATCAAGAACCAGAAAAAGCAAACAGCACCCGATCTGCGTCGCGAAGCTACCAATGCGCACTTGCGATGCGGGGATCGAGTTGAAGCTTGCCTTTCTTTAGCATGCTGTGTTCAGCTGAAAAGATGACCTAGTGCCACACAAACAAATCGACTCCTAGTTGGACACCCACCATAGGAGGTGAATACTGGCCATTATCTGCTGGGGTGCATCTCTCGACTTTCTGGACCAATCGAACTCGGCTCATTGGATTTCTCTTCTTCGACATGAATCTCGACAGCATCAGAGATCAAGGGCGGATACCCGCGAGCCGCCCCGGAGATGTCGAGTATGCGCCAAAGGGCCTTGTCGCCCCTAAGTATATGGGCACTGTTCGAGACCAACGCGACATGAGTACATTGGGCCGAGTTCAGGTTCTGCGGGTGAGGACCTCGCTCTTTGGCTTTAGCTGGCTTATAGTAATGCAAGACAGAGAAACTTCAAGTTCGTCTCGATTCTTGGATTTGGCTGCACGCTGATTTCCACATGGGAAGTCATCTTGACGTGGGTACTTATGTGGATAGGGTGAGACTCTTGGCTAACCCAGACCAGGTTTTTATCCAGTGGCCTGACTGATGGAGGTACTGCTGGGTTGATATGGGGGTTTATCATCGTTACGACTGGCTTCGCTCTTGTCTTTGCCAGCATAGCCGAGATGGCGTCCATGTACGTTTGCACCGCCAAATGTTGCCTGTCCAACGGGCGAGTCAACTCTAACGAGTGAGAAAGGTCCCCAACATCAGGAGGCCAATACCACTGGGTATCGGAATTTGCTCCTCGCAGGGGGCAGAAATTCCTAAGCTATATAACAGGTATCTGCAGGACCTGGGTTCCTCCTGGCTGAGACTGACAGCGATAGGATGGCTTTGTGCGATGGGCTGGCAGTGTGCCATCGTGGCCATTGCATATCTCGCAGGCACAATCATTCAAGGATTAATAGTGCTAAACCATCCGACATATGTCTTCGAACGATGGCACGGGACTCTACTTGTTATAGCCATCACTACTTTCTCCATCCTATTCAATACCTTCTTGGCCAAGAATCTTCCCATGGTCGAGGGGCTGATTCTGATCATTCACGTTGTTGGGTTATTTGCTATTATCATCCCGTTATGGGTCCTCGCTCCTCGAAACAGTCCCAAGGCGGTTTTCACCGACTTCAATGACGGAGGTGGATGGGGGAGTGCCGGCACTGCTACCTTGGTTGGCTTGTCCACCACCATCACCTCCATGATCGGATACGATTGCTCTGTCCATATGTGTAAGCGCCTCTTGCAATATGGAAAATATGATTCTAACTCCACAGCAGCCGAAGAGATCAAGGATGCATCGGAGACGCTCCCCAAGGCTATGATGTCCGCAGTAGGAGTTAATGGCGTCCTTGGTTTTATCATGATTATCACACTGTGCTTCACCTTGGGCGATGTCAACAACATCCTGAATAGCCCAACAGGCTTTCCGTTTATTCAGATCTTCTATAACACCACCAATAGTTACGCTGCGACAAACACCATGACGGCTATACTAGTCATTACACTCACAGCCAGCACGATCACTGAGGTAGCCACAGCATCTCGCCAGCTCTGGTCTTTTGCCCGCGACCAAGGGCTCCCGTTTTCATCTTTCTTCGCCTATGTGAGCGCTATTATTCAACGATTGTAAACCCGTTTCGACTAATGTCATTCTTTGCAGGTTACTCCCGGCTGGAACATACCTCTGAACTCCGTCCTTGTCTCACTTATTGTTACCGCTCTCTTAAGCCTCATTTATATCGGGTCCAACCTAGCTTTAAACGCCATTATGTCACTAACAATAACCTCTCTCATATCAGCCTACATCGTCTCTATCACCTGCGTTCTCCTGAAGCGACTGCGCGGGGAAGTGCTCCCACCGCGGCGGTGGTCGCTCGGCCGTTTCGGGATGGCCATCAACATCGCTAGTCTAGCATTCTTATTTCCAATATTTGTCTTTTCGTTCTTTCCGCTGACCAAAAATGTAACCGAGCAGAGTATGAACTGGGCTGCGGTTATGTACGTGGCAGTGGTCGGGTTTGCGTCAGTGTATTATTTCTTCTTGGGGAGGTATCAGTTTGTTGCTCCCGTGGTGTTGGTCAAGCGGGAATTTGACCTGAGTGATATATAATGGTGAGCGGTAATAGTGGGAATTTATCCTATACTTCGGCGCTATCTTAAATATATACGTCTTACGGAAGTTAGTACTTGCATACGTATAACATAAAAGGCACGTCTGCAGAGAAGCGAACAATACCTCCATTCATCCAAGCAACCCAAATCCGCACGCATCAAAACTAGCACCCCAAAGAAACAAAAATAAACTCAAACTCCCATCCCCACCTTAGCTCCACCTTCAACACCATCCCAAAACGAGAAGGCAAACAAAAAAGCGACCCAGTCAGGGAATTGGGTAAACCCCGGAAGTTGGGTATCCATTCTTCCCGCGGAAACAGCCTGCACGGCCAATCCGCAACTGTGGATAAGACGTCAGAAACACTCCCAGGTCGGCCGGAGATGCTTTGTTCACAGGGATCTGATGGCAGTGTGTCATCGGACAAGGATGCATTCCACTTCGAAACCTTGAAACGCATGTGTCCGTTCTCAGGGACCCCTGACGGGCAGCCCTGGCGAACCATTTCCCGACCAGGATGCTCGGGGTGGGTGCCTTGTGTGTAACCGTGTACAGGTCGCACTCTCTGGAAGGAGAAAGAATACTGTGGACGGCTATAAGGTTCTTACTGGCCTAGTTTGAATCTTGATTGTACTAAGATTTGCTAAATAACAGAACAGGATGCACTTTGAAGACAGTCAGCCGTCTCCCAAGGCACTGGAAATGACAGCTCCATCAGGAGAAGCCCACAAAGAAAGTACGTGTCGTACTTTATGTGCCGTGCCAACCTAGATTCTCGTGTCAAAGCCAAAGGAGCCCACCTTTGCTACTAGTCACTACTAGTTAGTCCGGCGCCCAGCCTTGGGGGCCTGGGGTTTCAGCACGATCAGATAAGCCCCCGTCGGGTGCCGAGGGGACGGGAATGGGTATTGCGTAACGCGAGCCTAGGTCTGGACTGAGCTTTTGAGAACGATTTCAACAGAATTGCTTCCTCGTGCTACAGGGCAATTTTCCAGTTACGGTGCTAAGGACACGATACCCTGTACAAGATGCGTTGAGAACCCAACAGAAACCCAGAGGACAATGCATGCAGGTCACTCAGCTCCGTATTTCCGTCCGCTGCATCATAATCAGATCACCCACCCCTGATCTTCCCCCCAACCCGCTATGGAGAACGACGGGTCGTTTCCAGAACTTGATGGTGTCTGACTAGTTTTATTCTGGAAGAGTGAGACTATTGACGCTAGGTGGTGGTTTTAGTCATGATTACGAGCCTTACGGGGATGCTGCAGCCCTCTGCTCCGTAGTAATGGGCGGGATGAGCTTCCGATTATTCAAGGGATGAACGCATATCTGATGGAATTGATTGATTTGATTGATAGGGCGAACGCGTCGGCCGATGTCGGAACGCGCCCCACTCCCGGGTGACCTGTCACATGCGGTTACACGGATCCGGAGGCGGGTTTTCTTCCGTCGAAAATTACGAACCTTGGTTGTACTATGGAAAGATTGACGGTTGAGTGGCGATTGAATTGGATAATACATATGTTGGGGAACTCGATAGATTGTTGTTATTACTTTGGATGGTTTGGGATGAGACAGTCGGAAGATCTCGGGCAAGTATTACCCGCTGGGTGGGATGAACACGGAGCGTCAAGTCCCGCAAGGACAAGACACACGGACACAACACGCGACTTAAGTTATCTGATCCGGAATAAGACACCTTGCCCACCGATCACGTGAACGGCCGGCGGTTGTCCTCCGGGTAGGTTCTTCTTCTTTGGGGGAATATGGGGAAGGTCATGGGGACAAAGTTCGGAGCGATATTCCGGTACGCATTCTGTGCTTTCGAAAATCATCGATGTACTGCCACGGAAAGAGGGAAGTTCACCAGGTGGTTAACCGAGGCCATAACCTGACTGTGGAGGGTTGCAACCGGATCAGATTAGATCGGTAACGTAACTCGGCTGCTGGTGGTTACGTACCGGTACGGGGAAATCTGGCCACTGCCGCTGTCAGCCCACCACCGGATGAACGATCTGAATGCGGTCGCTCAGTGAGCAATGAGGTGGGGGGTGATGATGATGACCTGGGCAGTTGGTTCGCATCCCACGTACGACTGATATCATATCCCAACCGGGATAATGATTCCATCGACCTAGCCGGACAGCCCATTCACTTGCCTCCAATTACTACCGCGTCAAGTAAACTATCCCGCTAGCTGCCGATCGGGCTGCCAACTCGATTGCTCCCCCGCGGGGTCTGAGCCCTGAGATGACCCAATCGGTGGCAGAGGCTGTAGACTGGACGTCTCCATCAGGTGGAGGAGATAGACAGCTTCTTTTCTGGGAGTATCCTTACAGAGTAAACTGTTTTGCCTGCGTGGGATAAATGCTTCCGTCGGTTTGGGCTGGACGGGTAAAGTTACATACCGACGGTAATGAACGGTTCGTTCCTCACCGACGGGGCAAGTGGCGAGGCCGACCGTCGCTTTTCGTGTCTCATTTCCTCATGGTTGAATAATAATTGTGTGCGACGCCGCCAGTCCCCTTCGCAGCGGCCACTTATCTGATTTTTCTCCTGCACGTGTTGAGCTACATTCCTCAACTATTTCTTCTTAGTCGGAGGTTTCAGCTGAAGCCATCGCTTGCTCTTCTCTTCCTTTCGTCCCCCTCTCACGCCCACCGATCGGACTATCGGCATCCTCCGTACGCCCACTGGGCCCGACAGACGAAAGAATCCCGACTAAGCTGCGACTAATCGCCCACCATCTGATGCACATCGTCGTCTAGTCCCTCGGAACCGTTATCCCGGCGCTGTCTGCCCCAGGCAAACTGCTTCCCGCCTCATTCCACCCCCCCATTCTCCGACTATTCCATCTCCCACTTCTGACCTGTTCTCCTGATTGCTGGTCGCATCGGGGTCTCTGCGTCACGCTTGCAGTGCCCACCTCTTCCTTAGCCTGTCCGATTCACAGGCTTGGTTGCCCCCTTTTCTACTTTCGACCAGCCAGTCTGCGATTTCTCAATCATTGACTATCTTCTTCTTCCTTCTTTCACTCTTCTCGCCAATTACTCTGGCCTGGCGATTCCGTCTCTCCTCTTCCGCTTCTACAGATTCACAATGGGTATGGTTGACGATATCGGGTGCTTATCACTCATTGCTTGTCCATAACTCCAGTGCAATTGTTAACAATTGATCTCTGAATAGTTCACGCCGTTCTTCCGCCCTCGAGGCCTGCGACGTCACGGACGTCTTTTGCACCCAATGTTGAACATGCGAGCATTCCCTTGTCGTCCACATCCCACCCCGACAACCCGGTACCCGAGGAGCCCCGTGGTGTTCGATCGCTCTCTATCACGGATATGAACTTCACCAACTTTACCATCTCCGCACCTTCATCGCCAGAGACTGACACTGCCGGTTCGGAGTCGGCGTCGAGTGTCCAGACTCCCGCCACCGAGATCCAATCCGATGCCGAGGAATTGACCGCCGATGGTCCTGAAAAACAGCGACGAGCATCCACCGTGCTCATCTCTCAGAACTCCGATGATATGAGACGTATTTTGGAAAATGTGGGATCTAGTGGCACACAGAAACTCCAGCCTCTCTGCTGTGGCGGTGGATGCTGTCGCAGCCAGCCATTGAGGGGCATTACTGCTCCTGTGGTCGGCGTGAAGCCCGTCACTCCTCCGGATAACAAGGCGTATCAGTGCCTTAACCTCAGGGTTGATTATCTCACATTGGACAGTGAGCTGAGCAACGTCGCTCCTCTGCCTGAGAAGACTGTCTCCTTCTCACCCGTCCCCGCGTCGGCTGTGGACATGAAGTTGGGACCAGCAGACCATCCTCCTACCTTCGTTCAACCTCACCCGCCATATAATGTCTACCGAGCGCCCTTGTACCATGCGCGCGAGCTGACCCAGGCGGGCGCGGAAAAGCGAACCTATCACTTTGACATTGACGTCACCGACTATCCCGCCGAAAGTGGCAATGTTGACTTCATTGTGGGTGGTGCTATTGGAGTGTGCCCCAAGAACAAGGAGGAGGAGGTTGATGACATCTTCAACCAGCTTGGTGTTCCTAAGTTTATGCGTGATAAGAAGATCACTGTACGCACCGAGAAGGGCCGTTGGCCCACGATCTGGGGTGATGACCAGCCCCGTGAGTTGATCACAACCCGGAGAGAGCTCCTCAATTGGTGCTCCGATATTCAGAGCTATGCTCCCACCAAGGATCTGTTCCGCCTGCTCGGTGAATATGCCAGCGAACCGAACGAGAAGAAGATCCTCATGTTCCTTGCTTCCGCCCAAGGCCAGGGTGCCTTCTGTGACCTGCGCACTAGCTCCCATATCACCGTCTCTCAACTGCTGCACGCCTTCCCCTCCTCTCATCCTCCCTTGGATCACCTCCTCTCCGTTCTGAACACTCTCATGCCCCGCTTTTACTCCCTCTCACAGGATCCCCTGCTTTCTTGCAAGCAGAAGGGCTCGGAGACCCGGCGTGTGGTCGAAGTTGCGGTCAGCGTGGCCGAGTCGAAGGACTGGAAGGGTGGTCTGCGGACAGGTGTGGGATCTGGATATCTCGAACGCGTCGCACGACAGTTGATCGAAGCCGAAAAGAAGGGCATCGACCCTCGAACCCTGAACCTCACCGTGCCCATGTTCCGAGGCCTGATGGCGAACCCTCTGGCCAAGCGCTTCGCTTCCGACGGTCCAATGCTCCTGATCGGAGCTGGTGTTGGCATTGCTCCATTCCGCGGATTCGTGCAGCGACGTCTACAGTCAGCCAACTGCGCCAACAAGGTCTGGGTGTTGCAGGGAGTTCGCGACTCCCTGTTGGATGAACTCTACCGTGGCGAGTGGGGCGTCGAAGAAGAAAAGGTCCGAACCGTGGTCCAGAGCCGTCGCGGTGAGAGCAAGTACGTTCAGGAAGAGGTGCGTAACCAGGCCGATCTAGTCTGGTACGTCATCAACGCCCTGGACGGCCGTGTCTTTGTCTGCGGCAGCGGCAAGGGCATGGGCGAGGGTGTCGAGGCCGCCCTGATCGACGTGGCCATG